AATTGTGTGTCTTTCACACAATTTAGTTTCCAGTGTGTCTAGCAATTGTGTTTTGTTGTGTGTACGTCTACTCCCGTGTGTACAACAATCGGCCAGGTTGACGCGGTGCAGAGGCGCGTCAACCTGGCCAATTGTACTTACTTAGCACTCAAGCAGTATGGTTTGGTTACTAAGCCGCACGGGTATAGAGCTAGTTGCCGTTTGTGAAAATCTAAATGATTGAAAACAGTGTTTACTGTTGCTAACAATCACAGTTTTCGTATTAAAAATATTTAAGATTTTATGGAACGTGTTTCTACACCCATTAAAAATTATTCTTTCAGATGCTGAGGCCACGATTCGAACGCTAATGTTTAAAGTGGCCTCTCGGTATTGCTAATCGGAAATGGAAAATCATGAAGTAGGTAACCCAATTTCAAATTTGACATTCTAGCCGTCGGTCTATTTTCCCTCGATCAGACTGCGGGTGCAGCAATGAAAATCTTCTTCTCCACCTGCCTGGCGATGGGCAGTGGGCCACTGTGCCGTGCTGCGCCCCGCGCCGTGCCAGCGGCGTGCAGGGGTTGGGGGCTGGAGGGAAACTAGGCCAGTAGTGACGTAGCTGTGACGTCAATGGCACCCCACCACCCTCCGCTCCGCCACCGTGGCCCTCCGCCTCTCGCCACCCCGCCGTCCCCGCCACCCACAGCCGCTCGCTCCGGGCGGCTCCAGGCCAGCCTCGGGACCGCGCGCGCCATGGAGTCGCCTGTAACGCATTTGCAGCCTTTTTGACTGTGGTGGACATGAGCTGGTGCTGGGCGCTGGTATCAAGAATTCAGACGCCCTCTTTCCTCATTCAGTTCGAAAAGTTACGTACTCTGCTAAACCAACAGCGTGCTTAGTACATATAAGGAAAGGTTTGCTTGCAAGTATACCCATGAGGTGTGTACTTGCCCTTGTACCCACCTTTTTGTGGAAAAGCGTTTTTGCCACAAGTACCGGGTGATTCCCTCCTCACCTCTCACCCGTGCGCCCGCCGAGTCGAGGATAGGCAAACCCGCAACACGGCGGCGCGTGCTCTGAATCACCCGATACACACATACGAGTGTGTTACAATGGTACTATCAGCGCAGAAAGAATTGAACCCCTCTGACGTCCATATTCCAAAGCAGAAAGGGTTCAATTCTTTCTGCGCTGATAGTACACATCACACAAGTGTGTGCATTACCTTGGGCAACGTACACACATGCGTGTGTACGGCAATTAATTGTCAAGCACACACTTGCTAGTGTGTACTGTGTGTGTACACTGTTGGGGTTTGCAATATAGACCGAGTAAAAACTAACTGGTATATAGGTTTACCGAGTAGTAATCAGAATGTTTTCCGTGTCATTGGTGTGTCGAGACATTCTGCAAGGTTTGTCCTGTCGCCGAGGCATTGCCGCATAGAACGCTTCCTCAACTGTATCGTGACGGACCGCCTGGTCTCTGCAGAAGAAAAGTGCCGTTCACGCGACACTGTTAAAAGTGCTGTAAGGAAGTACAGTTCGACTGCGGTCCGTCCTGTATATTCTGTGTACAGGCCAGACTGTAATGATATGGGCTGTACTTCAGTGTCGAAGACAGGTGCTGTATCAAGTGCTGTATATTGACCAAAAAGGCGGTTTGCGAAGTTACAGTACATCCTGTACGGAGTGAACTGTAATCAAAATTTACCCTAGTGACAAATTGACAGGGCGTACTGAAGACATTTCCTGTAGTGTTTTTTTTTTAACAGTGGATGGCCGCCGTGCGGAATGCGGGTTTGCTCTGCAGTACAGAGTAAGGGGTTGCCTACGCGCGCGTGGCAGGCGGCAGGTGTCCTATCCTGTCGTTCGCAGGGGCTCCTCACCTGGCGCCTGCGGGTGCTGTCCTGCTTCGCCCAGCACCAATGGTTGGCGGGTTGCCTACGCGCGCGTTGCAGGCGGCAGGTGGCCTATCCTGTCGTTCGCAGGGGCTCCTCACCTGGCGCCTGCGGGTGCTATCCTGCTCCGCCCGGCACCGATGGTTGGCGGGTTGCCTACGCGTGCGTTGCAGGCGGCAGGTTGCCTACGCCGGCGTTCGCAGGGGCTCCTCCTTACCTGGGGCCTGCTGTGAGTCAGGCAAAGTGCGCATAGAATGCTTTGGCAAACGCAATTAGGTCGTGCGACATGTGGTGCATAGTTGCATCACCAACCATTTTTTGTACATTGCAGCTGTTTTACGGTCAAGTACAACAAACTCCCGCCAAGAGTAGTTCACTTATGCCGTCGCAATCTTATTCACATAGGCTATAACCACTTGATCAAAACCGTTATCAAGAAACCTATTTTTGGGGCTGAAGGGGGTATGGGGGGTTCCAAGTTTAGTAATTTAATGCTTACTTGAGTTTAGTTTTTGTTTTGTGGGAGAACTCTGTAAATCAAAACTATGTCCCGTTTCCGTTTTATCCCAAAATGAATTCGCCCTGCGCGGTTAAAATATCGCCCATCAAATTTTCTCTCTTTGCGTCAAGACATGTATTACTTCTTAAGTTGTCGGTCGCCTCCTCCTTCCCTTCGGTCGCCACTGACCTTACCCAACATCGATCGTCCCCTCAGCACGTGGCCCTTTGAGTGGGGCCTCACGTCCGGGTGCGGGGTATCGCCACAAGCTGCGGGGAGTATCATCCTGAGCGTGAGGTAGCGGCAGGGGGTAATCCCTCACTAGGTTACCTCGAATCAACTTTGGCCACGACGGTAAAATACAATTTATTATATCACAATCATAGTTCCATGTTATAAAGAAATTTTTTCTTGTTTTCCCTCAGTCGCGTTTTAGAGTGGAATTTTAAAATTATTGTGCAGTTTTGTTTAAAAAAAAGGATCCAATGGAAACTTCGTCCGATTGTATCCGAAGCTTCCCGACCTTTTTGCTGGGGACTGATGGGCCCTCCTTTCCTGCCAACACTCTCAGCTGTCAAAAGTTTACAATGTTTCTCCTTTTTGAAAACGTAAATTCGCTAGGCAGTAGAGAACCCTGCCGTGCTGACAGTGGTCTGATCAATAACAGAAGATCGTGTCTGACACTGCGGAAGTCTTGTCCAGCATCTCGACCATCATCTCAAATCCTCGGTTTCCTGGTCCTTGCGACGTTTTCCGCTCACGCGGCGGTTTCTGGAATCAAAGAGGGACGTTAGTGGCGTTGATTTTCTGACAGTAGGTTGCCTCTAGCGCACTCGTCGTAGGTTCCCTACCCTGTAGGCGCTTCTTACCTGCAGGTGCCGCTTCAGGTGCGGCTGCGGGTGCGGCTTCAGGTGCGGCTGCCGGCTCGGCAGCAGCTGGGGGCGTGTGCGCGTGGAGTACAGCGGCGTGCGCGGCCTGGGACGCGAAATGTAATTATTAGTTTATCGCCAACAAGTTCATAGGCGGCAAACCCAACTAAAGTGCCCTAAAAACTTTGAAAAATTATAAGCAAGCACAAAGTAGTACCTTGAGCGCGTCGATGAGGAGCTGGTTGCCCGTCTCCGTGATGGTGTCCTTGAGGCGGTGCATGGCGTCCCCGATGCGCTCGGTGGCGGCGCGCGTGCGCAGTGCGCACGTCTTGACTTCCTCCCTGATCTCCTCGTCCTCGACGTGCTCCAGGAGCACCATTGCCGGGTCGGGCTCTGGCTCGGGTTCCGGCTCGGGCTCCGGTTCCGGTTCGGCCGGTGCCACTTCCGCCTCCGGTTTGGCGGGAGCCGGCTCGGCGGCCGGCGCTTCACCCTCTACGGTCGGTGCCCCCTCGGCACCCTCTGCGGCGGAAGCCCCCTCCGCGCCTTCGGCGGCCGGCGCCCCTTCCGCTCCTTCTGCAGGGGGTGCTTCTTCCGGTACCGGGGCGGGTTCCGGTTCCGGTACAATCTGGTGGACCATCCCCTCGATCTCTGCCAGGAGCGCCTCGAGTTTGGTGGCGGCCGCCTCTGCCTTCTCAGCGGCGTCCTTGGCCTCCTGCTCCTCGGGACTGAGTGGCGGACCCGGCGGCTCCGGAGTGGGGACCGGTTCTGGAGGCGGGGGTGGTTCCTCAACCACGGGTTCCGGCTCGGGTTCTGGTTCCGGTTCTGGTTCCGGTTCCGGTTCGACGACCGGCTCTGGTTCGGGTTCGGGCTCTGGTTCTGGTTCTGGTGGGGGTGGTGGGGGTAGCGCTGGCCGCAGCAGCTCGACGACGTGCAGGGCCTCTTCGACGGCGTGCTGCGCCCGGTCGGCGACGATCTCCACCGCGATGGCGACCTTGGTCTTGTGCGGCTCCTCTTCCTCCTCTTCCTCGCTCTCCTCCCCCTCCTGCACACATGCAGGTCTTGACATACCCCTTGATATAACCCCTCTATCCCTCACCTTTCTTAACCCTCCCTGCCCGACTGTGTATTTTGACGGGTTATTAGAGCGTCATCATGATTTCAAAACCTCTTCAAATATCAAATATTAGTGTTCTACTGTCGTGGCTTTCCGTAGTCCAGGCGGACAATCCAAAATTAACACCTTAATTTTACCGCATCCCCCTCCTCAAAAAATCACTTAAATCATTTTAAACGCAATCAAACTTAACTTTAGTTTTCCAGCAATGCGTCTGCAGGTGCGTACGCCTATCAATCGTCTGGTTTGGGATAGCGAAAGTATTACGCAAAACCATTTTACTATATTATTCTACTGGCGCTAAGTTAAATCCTACAGCTAAGGCCACCGTATTAACTTTGTCAGGAAGTGCAACATTTGCCGTGCTTTATTTTAATTTCTCTCTTTTTCTTAAATTTTTCTCAAGCGCTATCATGCCAGGCTCAATCCAGGCACATGCCGCTGCACAAGCTCACCTGATATCTCACTGCCCACGAAGATATTGTTGACTGTTGTGAATTTTTTTTTATAATATCTATGAAAAAAGTTAATTTTTCTCTATCTTTTAATTTTACGTTTAGTTGGCCTTTTACTCTCAAAAGCTGTGACGCGTGATGGAACCTGATAACGGGGTTGTTTTGGCGAAGGTTTTGTACATTTTGTGGAAAATACTTTTATTGTGACCCGCATACAAATAATACACAAATCGCCTTCATTCCAACAAGCAATACATGGTCTTTGGTTGCGTGCAAAGAGAATCTGCTTGAAACTGGTATCATGCTTTTTTATCGGGAGATCATGGCATATCTGCTGTCTTTCTACAAATAACATGATAATGCATCGGACGCACTTTTGAAAAATGAGTAAGTCGGATGCTTGTACCAGACAATATAGCTTGATGACAGGAAAGAAAACTGAGAAAATTTAACGAACCAGAAAAAACTGGAAAAGGCTCAGCGTTGTTTCCGCGGCGTCTTAAGGAAGTGAATTTATTGACAATAAACTGTCTATAGGATCTACCCCTTTATTTTTAAACAAGAAAAATGCAAAATGTACAGGGACCACCGGATCCACTGCCCCTCACTATAGTTAACCTTTCTGGGGATCTAGTTCGGCCAGGCGGTGCCGGCGCCGCCGGCTGGGGCCTCCTCGTCTTCCTCGTCCTCGTCTTCTTCGACCCGGCTGGCGGTAGACAGGCTACGCAACTGTAAACAGAACGACGAGGTTAGCGACAGCCATCAGACGGAAGGCGACGATAAAGAGTGGCTCAGAGGGTGAGTGTAACAGACATACGTTCAAGTGAATGAGTGAGAGAGGCTTTTTTTTTTTTTGGATCATAACGCTTGGGCTCTGGTGCAGTATCGATTCACATAGGGGCAGGCGGAGAGATTAGGTAAGCGCGCGGATTGAGACGAGCTGCGCCAGCTGCAGGTGCTGCAGCTGCAGGTGCTGTAGGTAGGTGGGGTTTGAAAAGGCTCTCTGGATCATTGGCGGTGGTTCGGTGGCGGGTTTACAGAGGTAAGGTGGGTACGGCAGGTGCGTACCTTCGACAGGTGCAGCAGGTGCTGCATCTACAGGTGCTGCATCTGGTGCTGGTGCCTCCGTCTGCGCCACTGCCACGGCCTCGGCGGCGTGCGAGGCCTGTAGTGCTGCTCGGTGGGCGGCCTTGAGCACGTCCATGAGTGCCTGCTGGCCGGTCTCGGCGATGGTCTCCTTGAGCCGAGCCATGGTCTCTTCTATCCTTTCCTTCGCGGCCTTGGCGCGCAGCGCAATGTTCTTGACTTCGTCCTTGATGGGCTCGTCGTCGAGGTGGTCCAGCATCTCCAGGGCGGGGTCCTCGGGTTCGGGTTCCGGCTCCGGCTCCGGCTCGGGTTCGGGTTCCACGACCGGCTCAGGCTCCGGGACGGGTTCCGGTTCTGGTGTCGGCGCCACCACTTCTCCCTCTGCCGGGACCTCGGCCGCGCCCTCTGCGGGAGCTTCGCCCTCTGCGGGCGCCGCCCCTTCGGCGGGTGGCGGGGCCTCCTCGACTGGTGGCGGATCTGGGATGATGACATGTACCATCCCCTCGATTTCGGCCAGGAGCTGCTCGAGCTGGTTCGCCATAGCTTCGGCCTTGTCTGCCGCTAGTTTGGCTCGCGTCTCCTCTTCGTCAAGCTCAGGCTCTGGTTCCGGTGTCGGTTCGGGGGGTAGTTCTGGCTCTGGCGTTGGCGGGATCGGAGACGGCTCTGGGGTCGGTGCCGGCGGTTCTTCCGGTTCTGGTGGCGGTGGCTCCTCCACCGGCGGCTCCGGCTCGGGCTCTGGTTCCGGTTCCGGCTGTGGGGGATGGAGCATCTCCTGGACCACGCGGAGCAGCTCAAGAGCGTGCTCGGCCTCCTCTACGGCGTGCTCTGCCTTACCCGCCACGATCTTGACGGCCTCCGTCACCTTGACGTCCGCCGGCTCCTCTTCTTCCTCCTCTTCCTCGTCAGAGTCCTGTACACGTTGTCTTAGTGAGTGTGTAGCACATAGCGACACGACTGTCGCACCGTCCCACATCACCTCATGTGCTCGGTGTCATGTTAGTTATGAAATTTTATCTTATTTAAATTAATTTTAAAAGAAAAGAGCTCAGTGTGAAGGTTAGATTACAACTCCAATCGCACATGTTAGCAAACAGCTGCCTACGGGAGCGGGTACCTCCTGAGTGTCAAATACTTGTTGTGAGTTGTATTTGGCGAAAACTTACCTAGTATTGCAGTTTACAATCGAGAACTGGGAAAGGTAAACCAATGTAAACTGTTTAAAATGATTTTTTCCATGTAGCGTTTTGCGCCAAATCTTTAATTTGAAAAGCTTTTTAAAGAATGCTTAAAAGAATTGTTGAGATTTAGATGACTATTGAAGAACGTTTAGCTATTTGAACAAACAGAAATTTCACTGTGACAAACTGTTTTTTTCCTCCAGAATTTGGCGTATTGGTAAGGAGCTAGATTTTTTGTCCAAGGAAAATAATTACATTGGTTTCTTTCCGGGTTAGTATGCTGGGACTGATTCTATTTTTGTAAATGCATGCAGAGAAAGCAAAACTGTTTCCACACAACCGAATATCTGTTTCATGGACATGCCTTATTGCCATTTAAACATGTAGCAAGACGATGAATATTGCAGTGAAAAAAAGCAACAAACAACTACTTAACTGTTTATGTTGAACAAACTTACCTTTGGGTTTTACGACAGTTGTCCGTATTTATCGATCGGGACATTAAGATATACAAGATTATTCTTTTCTTTGATAAAATGCAAATATTTATTTCCGATTTCTTTCAAGATACCAGTAGAAGGTGCGTTTGGTCTGTTTGGGTCTGATTGTCCTGTCAAAGTATCTGCGTATGGAATTTACTGTGATAAATGCAGACCCTGCCTCCATTATGCTACTCTATAGCATGTACTCTAGGCTAATTTCACAGTCTTAGATTGTGGAAACGCTAAACGCTACTTGTTTTCTTCATCTGTTTTCAGTCTGGGCGGGGATAAGGAGTAGGAACTAATAGGGAATGGGTAGAGTTTGTCGAAGTTCTGCAGCCGTTGTTCATTTACTTCCCGGGAGTCGCTGTCGTTCGCTTGTTCGGAATAGCATTCCACGATCATTCTGTGGAGACAATAGAGAATCACATAGTCAGCACGGAAAAAACGTCTTATGTAACTCTTCGTTGAATAAATCGAAATACATTTAGTCAGTACAAAATCCCCTCTAACTAACATAGTGGCCCACAGCCCCGGAACATTTACTCTGTACCAGATAGAGCCGTGCCGGCGGGTTTGCCTACCATCGCCTCATGGCCCGTGCTTGCAGGCGTATGCACCGTGTGTTTCTTCTCGCGCTTGGGCGGCGGGCGAGTTTGCCTATCTTTACGGGCAGAGGAGGTAGGCAAATCCGCTCGCGATCGCTGCGTGCGTCGTCGTGCGAAGAAACACCCGTTATTCGGTACAGTGCAAAGCGTCCCGGGTCTGCGGGCCACGCTGTATTTAAACTTGCCGCACTTGGTACTCACCTTCAGCCGCGGGCTCGGCAGGCGCGTCCGCTGGTGGCGCTTCCCCATCGGCGGCCTCCTTGGGTGCGGCGTCGCCCTCCTGAGCCTTGGGTAGCACGGGCTCGGCCTTCGCCATCGCCTGCTGGATCCTGGCCATGGCCAGCTCGATCCTGTCCCGGGCGTCTTTGGCGCGGTGCGCGGCCGACTTGATGGTGTCGCTGACCTCGACCTCGTCCACGTGGTCTAGAGCAGCTTCTGGAGGCTCCTCGGGCTTGGGGGGTTCTTCTGGCGGGAGTTCTGGTTCTGGTTCTGGCTCCGGTTCGGGTTCGGGTTCCACTTCCGGCTCAGGCTCGGGCTCTGGTTCGGGCTCGGGTTCCGGTTCTGGCTGGGGCATAAGTGGCTGGACAAGCTGCGTGATCTGGTCTAGGAGTGACTCGAGCTTCAGTGCGGCCTCCTCTGCCTTGACGGCGGCCTGCTCGGCCTTCTGCTCCGGAGTGAGCTTGGGTGGTGGTGGCGGCGGCTGTGCTGGTTCCGGTGTGGGCGCCGGGGTGACTTCCGCCGGCGCTCCCTCTGCGGGCGCTGCATCGCCGGCTGGGGCTTCGGCCGGGGCGTCGGCTGGGGCACCCTCGGCCGGCGGGGCTTCGGCGGCTGGGGTCTCCGCTGGAGGTGCCTCAGCTGGCGGGGCTTCCGCGGGGGCAGCCTCCGCTGGCGGGGCCTCAGCTGCCGGTGCCTCCGCTGCAGGAGCGTCTGCCGGGGGAGCCTCTGCTGGAGCTTCTGCAGGAGCTTCCGCTGGGGCGGCTTCCGCCGGGGGAGCTTCTGCCGGGGGTGCTTCTGCCGGGGGAGCCTCCCCGGCAGGCGCCTCTGCTGGCGGCGCGTCGGCGGGCGCTCCCTCGGCGGGCGGCGCTCCTTCTTGAGGGGCTGCTTCGGCCGGAGGAGCTTCTGCCTCCGCTGGAGGCGCCTCCTCCCCCCCTCCGCCTAGGGGCCCCTTGAGCAGCTTCTCCAGCACCAGCATAGCCTCATTGAGCGCCGTGTCTGCCTTATTGGCCACCACGGAGAGCGCGTCTGCTACCTTCGACTCCGGTGTCTCTTCCGGTTCAGGCTCTGGTTCCGGCTCTGGCTCTTCTTCCTCCTCGCTCTCTTCCTCTTCCTGTAAAAGCAAAAACCCCTTAGATACACGCATCGGAAAGGGGCGGACTGTGCAAAGTGTTAACATGTTGCGTGGTTTCATTTGTATTTCGCTCAAAGTAACACCAAAAAGTCACAATGAGGCCGTACAACTACATATTTATCTAGGCGCCAAAACTGTTTTTCTCTTAGCTTCATAAATCTTGAAGGCCCAACACTAGAAAAACAAAAGAAGAACTTCGTGCTTTTTGAAGGTACTAAATTTAAGTGCCGGCAGAAAGTGCCTCAGTAACGGCACCAAAATCTCGAAAAGGTGCCGAGTCGTGCCTTTGTTTTTGAAGTGCCCCTACAACTAACGTTCCCCCTATTTGACGCGAGGTATCGTTTGCTTGGCTGCCCGAGCCGGTGCACTTTGGCGCTCGGGGAGGGCCACCGTTTGCACACAGATGCGTTGCGGGTTGGCCTACCCGGCGCTTCGCAGGCGCCCCCATTGACGGAGCCTCGGGAAACGTTCATTGCAGAAGCGCCCTGAGTACACAACTACCCCATCCCGAACAGGTCGTGTAGGTTGGTCCACGCTTTACTTCCCGCGTGTGCGCCCGATCGGATCCAGACATCGATTGTCCGCGCAAGATGAACAATAAATTTAAATAAAAAACGTCTGTCGTCGGCCCACCCTCACGGTAAAAACAATGTCTTATTTTCTAAGGAAAAAGGGAAAACTTTGAGGAACTCACTGTTTGAGTGATAAGGGAAAACTTTGAGGAATCTCTTGGTTTGAGTAAAACTCGAGGAAGTCTCCTCAAAAATATGTTGTATTTTCCCTCTTTTTTTGAGAAGGTCCCTCAAAATGTGAGGAGAGATCGGATGAGTTTTCTTCAAATATGAGAGTTCCTCCAAGTTTTTCCTTTTTCCTCAAAAAACGAGATATCGTTTTTACCGTACAGAAAATGTAGGTTGCGTCACTATGGCCATTTCGTACAAATCTAACGTAAGGTACTCACCATGTTCCATCTGGATCGATCGGCATCAGAGTAGACACGCCCAGGCAGGGCAGGTGGTCGAGGATATTCATGCTGTGTTCACGACAGACTGGTGCTACATTGTTTCACGTTCAAAGCTCTTTTGTTTAGTGCGCCTAGTGAAAAAAAAAAGGTTTGCTCTCTCGTACTCTTTATTTATTTTTAAGGCCCACGCATTTTTTTGTTTGCAGCAGCCAGGAAATACTCTGTCGCACACTTTGACTGGTAAATAGCACCACTATTATTCGGGTTCTGTTACAGAAGGGCGCAGTGAACTTTTCGTTTATCGGGATGGCTAGTTAGTTTGTGTAGGTGAAGGGAATGATTCGACGGTGGTTTTGAACCAACCAAGTTTTCGTTTTAGTTAAATGCTTTAAAGGGTTCAAACGCTTTCTTATAGCTTACCTTCTACTATTATATGGAGGGTTGAGACATAATCCTAGACGCGCGAAGACATCTTACTCTTTATAGGGATAACTAATAAGCCTTTGACTTTTGAAAATGGGGTCTGCTGTTGTTTGTTAACTTACCCAAGTGTCCTAAAAGTGATGGGCACGTGGCCTCTTCGTCCCATGGCCCGTTGTCACCTCCTCTTTCTTGTTAGCAGGTTCGTCTTTGGAAGGTCCTCACAGGACGTCGATAGACTGTTGCGGAAAAAGGATTTTCTGGGAAACTTTGTCACTTGTCACGTACTCCCTCAAATAAAAGTGGGGTCTGTTGCCCATCGATTTCAATTTTGTCTTAAAAAAAGACATCTGACCATATCTACACCTTCGGGATTGGAAAGGTTATGGTTTGATGAAATGTTAAGTTATATTGAGCCAACCAAATTCCGTGCGCATCAAGTATGCAAAATTATTCATCATATCTTGTTATATATTCCGCCGAGCAAGTATGTGCAATGCCGAAACCCTCCGGTGCGTGCCATCATAAATTTCCATGAGTTTTTTTAAAGTTGCAATTTTGGGAAATCCCAGTTACGCCGAACTAACTCAACTGATAGGCGTGCACGTATGGGGATTACGGTAACTTCGAGTTCGTTTTCAAAGGTGGCCACACAGTAGGCGTGCCCCGAGACGACGCGCTTTTTTTAAGACTGATTTGTGCCCAACTTTGTATTCTGCCGCGCTCTCGCTCTCATGGGCGCAATAGAGACCGAGAACTGTCTGGTTACGCCGATTCACTGGTCACTGATCTAGGCTACGTCGTGCGGGTACACTGTTATTGATATTTTCGTAGCTTTAACACACCTTTGTAGGTAATTTTGTTGGCAGCGTAACATGTATACTAACAGTTAATTTCGTTCCTTGACAACAAATTTGTCATATCATGGCGAGAATCTCATCACACAACAGCAATTGCCTCGTTGTTGTACAACCTTTGTCTGCCAACAAGATGAACTACAAAGTGTCGTAAATTTACGACAGCATTTTTAATAGCGTAAAAGCGCAAGCTAGTATATGTCTCTGCTCGCCCATGAGATTCGCGTTCTGATTTCGTGCCTGAGTGCGGGCGATGCCGGGTCAGAAGTCCAGCCGGAGAAAATACCGTGTGTGAGGGCTACGACAACAAGGGTGCAGTCTTGCCTACTCGCCCCACCCGTAAGGCGCCATGGCCCTTAGAGTAGGCAAGTAACCCGCATACTGCAAAGTCGTAGCCCTGAGACACGGTACGTAGTACTGGGTTATTACACTCTCATTTCCTTATAGACACGCTTACGGAGAATTTTGTGCAAACGTATTATGGATCACAAATTATCCATAATATGGATAAAATTGTGCGGATTACGGACAATTTGATCCATATTACAGACATGCCTTCATCCATAGGGTACCTTTTGTCCATACCTTTCGTCTAAACCTTTCGTCTAAACCTTTCGTCCATGCCTTGGACAGTAAGTAAGACTAGTTCGTAATACGGACAATTTTATCCATGTTATGGATAATTTGTGATCCATAATACGTTTGCACAAAATTCTCCATGACATACGGATAGCACATCCATAGGCATATGAGAGTGTAACTATGCTACAATAGCGGTCTGCGCCTGCAACCTGCAATGCATCCACATCAGCATGGAGCTGGCGCCACGCCTTATTTGTAAGTAGGTGCTTCGCGACGTGCGGCGCCTAACTTTCCCTCGCGTCACCATGGGTAACGCTTTTTTGCCGGAGCAACGTAGTTGCCCAGAAGTCTTTACAGGTTTCTATACTGATGACTTTCCATTTTACCATACATACCAGAGTGAAATACTGCAATTTCTAGAGATATGCTGTGACTTCGGGTAGTTGGTTTCTCTTGCGGACATGTTATTGTGACGACAGGGAATCAAAAGACACCACAAGACAAACATAACATATTCATTCTCAGACACAAATGCTTTTATTTGCCATTCAATCAGTCTTCTTGACCCAAAATACAATATGGTGCAAATCAAACGTAAACATGCCAAGGGAAAACCTACTCGTGACTTGTGCATGCGAATGACGTGCGAGGTACTGGAAACATTTGTATTCAGATTCAAGCTAAGCTTACAATGTTGATGTTCCGGCGGCTCATGGCTGAGGACACTTCGCGCTCTTTCGGAGCAAGGAATAGTTCAATAAAAATATGGCGTTGTTCTTTGTATGATTCAGTTAGGCGTGATGCTATTTCTTTTTGCGATGTTAAAGTTCCTATTCGCGCAGGGTATGTTAAGTATCTTTTTTCTGATATTACGAATAGACCTAACATTATGATTAAAATATGTGTGTAGTATAAAGGGGCGTTGGTGTATCAGGAGTCCGCTCATGCTTCAACCTCCTGCTCCTCCTTTACCTTCTTTTCATCTCCCTTCTTCGACCAGTCGGGCTTTTTCTGAAAACACACAAGAAATAAGGGCATTACAAGCTGCAAATCAATAAGGTATTTCTGTGTTTAATGTGGTTTCCCCCTTAAATTGCGTTCGTAGAATCATTTTGAATTGATGCAGTGCAATTGCACTGTAGAACAATGGACGCATTTCAACTCAGGACTAAATATACTCTGAACACAATTAAGTAATATAAAGCATGGCGAGCAAATCTCAATTGTCATATAGAAGAGATCCTGGATTCATTGTGCAGCTAGAAATATAACAAAGCTTCGTTTTACTGTGCTAGGACCCACGGAGGGAATAAAGCGCTTAGCAGGTTGTAGGAGCAGTGCAGTTAAGTGGTGTGGGGTAATATTTTCAAGGTACTTTCGTCGAGCTTAGGAGTGCTAAACTCTTTTCGAATTCCATGAAAACTTATACCCGGTATTCTCAAAATTACTAAACGTCATTACCCTGATAATTCAAGAATAGTGTCCATCGCCACTTTGATTGTTTCGACATTTTTTCGGCATGTCATTTCTCACTGGGTTATTACAGCGTAGGAAGAGTTTATAAAACAAGAATACATCGCACACCTTTCTTGAATTTACAGTTCATGACGTTTTGCTTCAGCAGTAGTTAGCAAGGAAATCAAATCAGCCGCAATCAAAATATCTGCGATAAGTTATACCCTCCGTGTTGTCCTCGGCTTCTTCTTTTAAAAAGGAAATACTGGTCACACAGCATGGCGTTCACACAAAATCGTTTCTAGCTAGGAACACACTCTATAAGGTAAGCCGTACAAATTCTCCGTTTGTCAATGACTAAATGATTTTTTACATGAATACGAACTCTCAAAGCAGCAATCTACTTTTACTTTTTTCTTGCAAAAGCTTTAGTCTTGCTTCTACGTTCATCCGTAGCCCTCTCACCTTTCATATTGTGCTTTACCTTCAATCCACGCTCTTGATTCCTCAAGTAGACTTCATAAAGTACCAATTTCTAGGTTTGCGAATTAACTTTTTAAAGTAAATCTAAGTTAAAAATATATTTAGCAAAAACCAAAAGCGTTTTCATTTTAAATTAGATTAAAATCAATTAGCTTGGACGTTTAAAATGCAAACGACCCAGAAGTTCACGTGTTAGGTAAATGTAACTACCTTGAGATACACGCATAAATGCAAGCAAAGGTTCTGTACAAAGGTAATTGCATGTATGCGTGTTTCTGACCGTTATCAAAGGACAAAACACGAAAAAAGAATGTAAAAAAGTGACTGTTAAAAACAAAACATTGGGCACAATTTCACACTGAACACAGGCCTGCTCCCAAAAAAAAGGCATTAAAAACAGGTTTCAAAATGTCTGCATGTAGAAAAAGTGTGTGGAAAAAGGCTGTGCAGCTGAAGACGTAAAAAAAAAATGTTCAAAAATATTTCAGACTAAGAAGTTTAAATAACTTAAAATTGTAAATTGGTCATTTTATTATGATATTATAGTGTTGAATTATTATAGTGATGAAACTAAAATGTAATTTGTTCGCATAGGACATGCGTTTGCAGAAAAAATGACAGTTTTGAATAACATATACGAAAATAATTGCATGAGGGAAAATGGCCTTTTCTGATGTTTGATGAGGTGTTTACTTCTTCTGCCACTCAGCTTTCTCTGACGGCTTCTTCTGTGGGACAAAGTTGCAATTAAATGCAATTAATTACAGAGCAGAGTTCTTGTTGCCCTTGTGGTTCGTGTAATGTTATGAGTTTTCATAATTTGTGTAGAGTTTGCCAATTACGACTTGATTATTAGTGTTGTGAAGGTTACCTTTAAAGAGCGTGCTGCAATTATTTTTTTAGTCATATTGCCCTTTTTATGTTCATTACCTCCTTATCTTCCTCTTCCAGTGTGAATTCCTTCTTCTTCACCACCTTAAGTTGGTTACGGAAGTTGAATTCGGCAGCCTTTTTCTGGAGCTTGGCGAACTTGTTCTCGTACTTGGACACCTTCTTGAGGGTAGGTTTAACACTGCAGACAAAAACAAAGTGCATTTTAAACAATATTTCTAGATTTTTGCAACTTGAAGCTAGTTTTAAAATTTAAATGGCTGTTTTCGTTGTATCGGCAAGATTGTTGTTAATTTACTTGCATCGGCATCGAGATACTTACAATTTACCGCGGAGGTCGTTCACCTGGCTGTTGAGGTCGGAGATCTGTTCACAATACAAATATATTATTAGAATTCAGAACCAAAGCAATGTGCTCCTGCTAACTCATTAAACTTAACCACTTTAGTCACATCCAAAAGTGTTACTTTTGGTCTGTCGGGACAAAAGATTTAAAGACCGCGACATGCTTTTCATGCCACCAACTTTACTAATCCAGCAGTAGGACAGTCCCATTTTACATGGCAAAATTTTAGAATCTTGCATTTGAATGACCCTTTAAACGAAAAGAGTGTGACATACAAATTTGGCCAGACCACTACTTCACACTCATCTGCGTGTGAATTGTATGTTACGCTCTTTACTCTGTAAAATGAGACCGCCCTATTGTCAGATTTGCAGAGATTGTCCTTCAAACAGTAAAGTCATACTCGATTTAAATTATTGCGCCTTACAAGAGACACTAATTAAAAGTTTAATTCTGTCATCTCGTCATACTTAGCTTTAAGTCGCACACTGTAAAGTTAAACACAGCGAAAGAGTAAAAAGCAGATTAAAACAGAATACTTCTAAAATATATCGTAACACACGTGCTGACATGCAAAGGCAAAAGTTGAAAACGGAGCAAAGAGGAGGAAAGCTTAGCTTAGGAATAGAAAGTAGTTGAAACAAAGCAAAAGGTCGTAGAGGACGTTCGTTATAATACGTTCCTTTTAATTGTTCGCCTTGAGCAACCGATAAATTTTGCATAAAATATTAGCTACCGGAGGAAGTTGCATACCTCGTAAATTTAGATATACGTTTGTAACCCATAGCAATCCATAAATAACTTTTTATTGACGAAATTTAGATAGAGATAGAGACAGCGAAGTGGTAAGAACAATACTCAAGCCAAGAATTCAATAATATACTACCAAACTTTTCCAATACTACTATGTTCCACTTTCCCTTGTCCTGTTTTGTCCTAAATTGAAAGTAAAGTGGTATTTGGTAACATTTCGGTGTGGTGTCGGGTTTCGTTCTACTTATCTCGTAAAGCTTTTACCCCTCACTTTCCTTTGGGAAATATGTGACTTTGTAGTATGACTGTGCGTAATATTGTGTGTGTAATTGTTGAGGGACTGTGACCCAGCGGACCCAATGGTTTGGCGCGGAGATTTTATCTCCATATCGGTCGCCCGTAAGATTTCAACAAGTCCCCATTAAGGTATACTTCATTGATATTTACTGTTGACAAAAAGTGCCGATTTCACGTTGAATTGAAATCATTTTGTCCACTATTTCGAATGTTTTGCCTCGCTTCATATGGAATCGATATCGATTCGAGTAATTACATCGGCATCAGATTTAGAATCGGATCACTATCGAGGTAAACGATGACAAAACGATTTCCATCGACGATCTGTTTTTGGCTAGGGTAGCACCTTTTAGCAAATGACAATTTTTTTAACAACAATGCAACATCATTCATGTACTGTTGTACCGTATAGTGTTTCCCATCGTTACCACATACTTCCGCAGCTTGTCTCTACACAGTTATCAGCCTAGTCTCAAAATGTATAATCACACTAGAAACGCAAGTGCTTGAATGTCGCACACTTGTAGGTGTATGAATGCCCATGCGTCAAGGGAGTAAGGTGTGATTTTTTTTTGATGTACACACTTATGCCTCCGTGTGTACGACTGGTGTCTATACACCTTCAAATGTGCGTCATCCACACTTGGGTTCCCGGTGCAACTTTATCAGGTGGACTGCTATATTCCTTACAAATTATTCGAAGAACTAAACAGTAATTGTTTTTCCCCTGTGACAATTTTTAGACAGTACATAAAGGAAACGTAAGGCCTAACAGGAGGATGCGGGGAGGTTCGGCTGGTCCCGAGCAGCCCTCGGTCCACGTGGTGGTGCAAGGATGGACCTGCTGGCCAGAGACTGGTCACCAGAAATGATATTGGTGCTCACACTCAATTTGTAAAATAGACAAATCGGGCAATCAACGATGGAAATCGGCGAGTTGCCTGGTCGATCGATCCGCATTCCGCCATTTCTGCAAACCATATAGGAGGTCGTGAAGCACAACAACGCAGAAAGAGCTTATTACTGCCTTTGCTCTTAGCCCTTCTCAGTCTAGAGAGATAGAGCTGCAACCCCGCTTCACCAGAAGTGGGTTTTGGAAGATGGAACTTAAAACTCAAGTTCCACGGAAAAAACAATCACCCCTAAAGCGCAAAGGTTAAAATTACGACGAGAAAAAGTCTAAATAATATAGCATTTCATATTAGTGAGTCGGCTCAGTAAAGATGCATTGCGCTTTTCCATTGAGACGTCGAATAACGCAATGCATTAATGTTATCTGCAGCTATCACCATTACTACTGTACAAAATTTCGGCCTACTATTCCCGCATTTAGACTTTTTAATTCGTACAAATATGAAGTGCCTCAAACATAGAGAAAGCAATAACCCCCTTTTTTTACAGATAAAACTCGGGCAGAACACCGCATAGGCCCAGTTTTATGTCACGTATAATCTCCGTGAATTTCGAACCCTGCTATGCACTGTTCACCAATACCTGCGTATAGGGACCGCCCCATATAACTCAAGAATGTCGGTTGGACCGGATCGTGTCTCGGAACGATCTTTTTTGTAATAACTCAGAATGCAGGTCGCGGATTTTGCACCACCACACGGAAATCAGAAGCTTTGAAGCATTAATGGTATATATATGAATGTTTTTGGGTCATTACATGTCAGTACAGTTTTTAAAAATTCTTTTGAATGCGTTAGATGATGCAATGCTGCAAAGTTTTAACATGTCTTTAATGGACTCTATCTTCTAATGAAATATTGTCACTGGGCATTAACGGTGTGACTTTGCTGCTTTTGCTCAGTCAATCACCAAAAATAACCCCGACACTGAGCTAAAACCGAAAAAGTGAAAAACTTTTTTTTAGCCAAAGTAGTAAACGCAGTTGCAATCAACACCTTTGAAAGAGAATCATTATCTGGCATGAAATGACTGTCACCTATTGAACCGGATCGCGAATAAGATCAGGGCCTATGTTATGTTAAGCACCAAGACCTTAGGTCACATTAGTTTTGGGTGGTGAATATATTTATAAAAAGCTATATTTACAGTTCTGTTCACATTATTTTGCCCAGCCCACTCAAACTAATAAAATATCTGCAGAAAATCGCTCATCTCAAATGACGTATGCCCGGGAGTCATTGGCTTCGACGTATGTTCCCCGATAAAACGGAAAGAAAATTGACGCCAACGTTTATAGACGCCATATTTAGTGTAGGGTTCGTTCAAATATAGCGTTAATTAGTCGTGCAAATATTATGACTCCATTAGGCTGACGATCATGATTTGAGTTCGCTGATCCTCTATGATATAAAACGCAGGGTACAAATATCATGTTGCTGTGACCTGTGATGGCCCTGAGCCCAAAAGGATTATTCAATTTGTACCTCCAATTCACGTAACATTTAAACGACCTATTACGCATAAATAATTTATATGTAAAATATGTTATTACTACAATAAGTATTTCTTGTCATGTTGAGCACTTCATATTTGCCTTAAATTATGTATGACAAGATATTTTACACTGGCGAATTATGTAGGCTGGCTAAGCGAAGGTCTCTTAACGTCGTAATTTAAAATTACTACTTGACACATGAATATAAGTGGGCTGGGCTGTGCATAGTTACTTAAGGCCAAGTGCGTTCAGGTAATCTTTATCGGCAATTACTTTAATAGTTGTAAGGCTGATCGGTTAAGCAACTTTTCTAAAATTAGCCTAAATGAAAACAGAAAAGCCAGAGAATAAACTTTCTGCTTTCATCGGTTTATTGGCATCTCATTGGCGGGGATGGCTTTGCAAATTGAACAATATCCCACAATGGCTTTGATGTGTTGATCAACACAAAATGAAACGTTTGGGTCGATGGATATCTTGTGAGCAAAAGCCTTGTCTATTCACACCCTTTGACAAAGCGTTCTATGGGGGCACAAGCACATAGACACGCGTACCTCGTAGTCTCTTTTCCTGACTTCATGTTCCAAATCCCACTTCTGGCTCTCACAGAGGAGCATGCGTTCGTAATACTGCTTGCAGATCGCCTTGAGTTGCTCTAAAGGCAGAACACACACATTAACTGTTTGGCCAGGATCAATACAGGGACCAACCAAAACCAGCCCGGGATACAGTTGAAGGAGCACGAAAGAGGTCAGTTACTGAGTTGTCTATAGTACTTTAAGGACAGGGCGCTAAATATTTAAGATGAATACCAGCACCCTAATTAAGCGGCAAGTGTGAATGATGCCTATTTCTCGTAATTCAGAACCTATTTTTTATTTTAAAATCAAACAGTAATCGGAGAACATTTAAGGCTCGTAGTGCGCACTAAAACCAGAAAACAATTTTCGCTACAGAGCCCCTTAGCCCCTCTCCCTTCCCCTA